TTTATTAAAGATTAAAGCTCAGTGTGCAGCACAGTCACATTTCCATGCAGCACAGTCATGTTTCCATGCAACACAGTCATGTTTCCATGCAACAGAGGTGGCCCATGCTGGATCCATCCCTGCTTTTTTGTGAAAAAAGTTCGGTATCAGGTGCTGAGTCCTACTACAAACACACAATATTGGGTGGTTTTAGGTTAGGATAAATACTTGCTCACACTATTCTTTGTTCATCCAAATACAGGTTATCCAGCATTTGCTCAAGTGGACAAGTCCTCAGCTCAAAATTATGCAAGCAGATGTCATATCTACTCTCAACAGCAAATTTTCACTGAGGTTGGATTTGTGTCGAAAATGTATTGAATTTGCCTCTCCGATCTCAGCCGAAGATGAGTATAGTCTGTTATCACTACTGGCTGGTGCAGACAATTTTTTTCCCACAACGTGATGGCAGTGTCTCGGCACAAGAAGCAGAAGTGCCAGCTAAAAAACCAATGGAAGACTGATTCCTTTTTCATTGTTGTAACAGTTGTTTTGTTTAGTTTTGTTGGTTTTAAGAAGGCCCAGATATAAGGCAGACTATAATTCTTCTTCTGTAGTACGGTGTGGTTGATATTGAGAAAGTTGTTTAATTTAATAATTTTGTGGTTTTAATTTAAATCAAGGATCATACAAGAGGTTTTTGATAGTTTACTATCTGTCCTCAGGCTAACAAATTGTTCTTAAATTTCATTCAGTGTGTTTTACCAAGTTAATCACATCCTAACACTTGAACATACTGTATTATGTTAAGTTGCAAAGATATCATAAGCAAATAAAGCAATATCTTTACGACAATAATAACCTCTGATTGGAGAGCTGTACCTCATAGAAAATCATTGGCACAACTATGGACAGTATCTGACGACACCGTCCCATACACATTCGAACAATCACTTTGCCAGCTTTTATTCCCTAATCTTGAACATTTCAATTGTGGGAGAAAATTCTGTTTATGCGCACGACTAAAAGCCAATGAACACAGATGTGTTTCTGCGCATGCGTATATATAAAAAGTGTTCGTACCACAATCATAAGACAATGAAACAGCATTCAAAACAGGCAACACACCATGTGCGATTCCCTCGTTAACCATGGTATTACAAACTAATACCATGATATGTCGGGAAATTAGTGATTAAATGTCCCTCACCCTTGGGAGGTTTGTGGTCCACAAACCTCCCTCGGGTTTCGGGGACATTTAATCACTAATTTCCCTCATATCATGGTATTACTTATAATTGTTTTGCTAATTGGCACTTATCAATGGGGGCACAGAGAAACTTGCTGCATGATCCTAAAGCTCTTTATTCTGGCAATTGCCCTTTCAACATACAGGCTAACTGAGGCTACCCTTCTCATTAGTATTTCATCCTCTTTGCTAAGCTGATTCTGTCTGTTGATATTTAATATTACCCCAGCTGGCAAATCATCCTCAATGCCCAGTTCTAAAAGTTTCAAATCCTACAGTCACTGGTGATATTTTTGTCACTCTGCCTGCATACAGATTGGGGACAAAACTTGGGAACCCATTAGGAGAAATACTCAGCAATCAATTGAAAATGTAGGTGATTGGCTTCTGCACGAGGATGGGGTTTCAAGATAGATCTCAGTACAATCAATTATAACCCTTGTTTTAGGAAAAGTTGTCTTGAAGCATTCAAGCATGGTTTCATCAATAAACTTGCAGGTTAGCCAAGTTGGCAAAATTCTGAGTTGCTGGTGAAGAAAATAAACCCACTGTAGTGTTTTGACATTTGATGTTTAAGGAAGCAAGCAACTTGGGCAGAAATGCTGGACATTTGAGCCTGCTAATTGGTATGCGGTTTTCTCCATTAGCACGGCAATTTTGCAACATGGCGCAAGAAAGCGTTGTCTTCTTGAGGTTGATTACGCACAATTAAATGCGCTTTCATCTGTTGTCCAAAAAACGTTCGAAAAATAATCGTATTTACGATGTGAAGAGAATCATCGAACGGCGAAATGTAAAACATGTAAGTTTTTCTTTACAAATATTTTTTGACTATCCTTATAAAATTATAAATATGAAAATATTTGCTATTATAAATATATATTAAATACAACTTTTTGTCAACCGTTTTTATAGATTTTTTATACATTACTTATATTTTAAAAAGCACAAATTCGTCGTTGGTAGCTCTTCTGAATTGTGCTTTAACTGTCTTGATAAATACTAATTATACTTCAGATCCCCACCAAAGTGTAATAGCAAAGTTGTGTTGTGACTTGCTGGGAATAATTATTTTTTTCCTATTAAGACAGACCATGAGTACTTGATAAAATGGCAAGGTTGGCTAATGCAAGACTGTTCTTGGGAGCCATCCGAAAACTTACCAGAACACTTAATAAGATATAGTGCATGTTATTCTGTTTGACATTTTGAATTAAACAACTACGTGTACACATTTACCATTCAAGTTTAAACTTATTTTCTGACAACTTCCAAAGCCAAGTGACAAGAAGCTTCAAGAGGCAGGTCATCACTTTGCTGCAGGGATATTATCTGCTTTGAAGAGTTCATCAGTGTCTGCATTTTATGTCAATATGAAGCTTGATGTTTGGAGATTCCTTACATACCAGGAAGGTACAGCTTCAGAACATTGACGGCATGTGTTGTATTCAAAAAATGATTTCGGCAGATTTAAAGCTTTACCTGATTACTCGTGGTAATATTTAGATCAACATGGAGAGGGCAAGGTACTGGATTTTCCAATTAAAATAAAACCTGTTGTCTCATGGTCACCTATCCATTACATTGTTAAATCAGGAAAATTTGTCAAGGCTTCTCGGTTTCCAGTTGAGAAGCTCTGTATTACAATTGTTAAGGGTGCATGTAGTCAGGGGCGGACATATCGATTTTGACTGGGAGGGTGTAGTCACGAAATGAGACCGACCCATCAATGAAATGTGAATCCAGACCGACTCTTGGTGAGTTGGTGTGTTGCAATAAAATTGAGTATAAAGCATAGAAATTGATGGCATTTATTAGGAATTTTGCAAGAACACGTACAGTTTGCTGTGAAATGTTATATTTTTATTAAGTGTCCGCGTTTAGTAAGGTTTGATCATGGATTAGCGATTTCGTCTGAAGATCGATCGTGTCTGTTAGATCGCGCTCACACGCAAGAGTCAAGAGTTCACCAAGGCGTTCCTGGTTCATTACTGAACACATAACAGTTTTCACTGATTTCAGCTTTGAAAAGCTGCGCTCGGCTGATGTGGAACTGTCAGGCGTGTAACTATAGGATTTTTGATTGACCGAGACACTTCCGGGGGGGGGGTCTGGGGGCAATTTTTCATTTTCTAAGGCTTAGAAACGCTATTTCCTGCATTCTGGGAGCAGTTCAAACGAAAAATCAATTTCATATTACAGTCACACAATGACTGTAATTTTATACTGTAGTTTGCCCCCAATCCTGAGGTTAAGAATTACAAATATTTTTGGTCGAACATCATTGATCAGGTGCATAATAAAAAAGCGTTTGTGCTCAATTGTTGTAATATTTGGGCACTGGCCCGCACTTTTGTTATTGGGGTACTTGTGCACCCACACAGCCTCCCATTTCTTACGTCACTGTAGGGCAAGAATGATGCTTCTTTACATGGAGAGAACTACAGTCTGTCATTGAACTTGAACTTGATTGACTCATATACCTAGTTATGGGCCTGACTGTAAGCAACAATTGGAAACATCGCTTAGTCAGTGGAAACAATTTTTCGCTCCGTTATTTCAGATAAACCAGTGCGTTGTTCACTGATCGAATTTCTTGATTGCAGTAGACACAAAAAACTCTTTGTTAACAAAATTCATATGCATATTGTGTTACATGTGAACATACTTCCTAATATAACTCGGCTAGAAATTCGTTTTTGCACTTTGCATCTTAAAAATAAAGTTTAGGGACCGGAGAAATATTGTAACTAATGTTAGCTATTTTAATCGATATTCATCGCATTTGGAGTCTGATTTTGGGGGTTTGAAATTTTCACTAATATAGAATATCACCTGTGTATGACATTGCAGAACCTAAATTCCAAATAAAAGTGCCAACACGTAATCGTAAAGTGGATATCTCCAATCTCCATGCTTGGAAAGTAAATGGACACTTCATCCCTTTGAAGTGATAATTCGTTCATAAACTCGCGAAATAAGTACGTAATATTTCTTCATATTATTCCTGAGCTGTTTGATCCGTTTGAGCAAATTTCCAACTCAATACTCAACTGATAGTTTGAGTCTATCTCAAGTTTCGAAAATATTTCATTTGCTTCGCAAAGCACTATGTGTAAACAAACGCATAATTTTGAGACCGACTGCACGTAGTTTGAGACCGACTGGATCATTTATCTGGGGGGGGGGTGAACCACCCCCCCACACACCCCCACATTTACGCCCCTGCTGATGTAGTATAGACAATATAGACAACCTTTAACAGATAAATAACTTTATATATTTATAACTTTGTATACCAGTTTGTACACGATTCCGAATACCAGTTTCATGTTAAATAGTTAAATAACAGTTACATAATTGGCACCAATAAATAGTTTCATGTTTAAGCAAATTTAGTCTTGTGTCTTTACTGTTGTAGTTCATTTGTGTCTACATTTTACACAGCTACTTGGTAAATTTCCTGCAACCTCTTTAGATTTCTTGTGCTAGTGTTTATTCCCAATTCCTTCAATTTAGACCTGATCATCACAGGTGTCATATTTTCTGTTTCATCCACACTAGTACTGTTTTCTTCACTGGAACTACCATGACATAAACGGTGTTGCTTTGCCTTATTTTCAATGATGCCATCTATCCAGTAACTCTCAGCCTTTTTTATGTATTTGCATGGGGTTCTTTCAACCTCACTTAGCAAATCTATACGCTTTCCTACCATTAAGACATCTCTTTCTGCATCCCATTTGCTAGACTTTTGCAAATGTCTTCTATGGCAGACATCATTTAATTTCTCAACTCCTATGATAAATAATGTAAAAAAGTTTTTCTTTGATGCCTAAAAATGTGTCATTATTAGTTCATTGTAGGCTGCCTCACCTACCGAAAACATATCTTGGATAAACTGAATCTGTTTGATTTTCTCCTTTTCCTCTTCAGGGAGCTGTTGATATTTTTTTCTCTTGGTAAGTAAAGGACAGAGTATGATTGACTCCTTTCTGGTCAGTAAAGCTTGCTGAGTTGAGAGTAAGACCATATGTTTCAGCAAACCACAAACCTCTCTCAACATGGGATTTTAGCTCTGTTAGTTTTCCTCTTTGTTGTCATTTTCCCACATCAGTCACTACTTTGCTGTTGTTATTCATATCATCCGAATCTGCATGCTATTGTTTTTATGTATTCTCTGAGTTGTATATTTGTGCTAGTGATTTCATCATAACTGTTTTGCACATCCTCCAGATTATTTTCCATCTTATCTTTGGCTTGACAAGCGGTTTGCTGGTCATTTTCTTCTAGTAATTTTTGTTCATTTTCATGCATTCGGCTGATTTCATCCTCCATGTGATCTATATGCACAGATACTAGATCTTGTCGAATAGCAATCTTCCTTTGACCACTGAGATACTGACCTCTAGCACAACCCAATGAACTTTGTAGATTTGTTTTTGACATTACAGCAACTTTCGTATAGCAAACTCTCAATTCTTGTGCAATCTTTCTGTATTTTCATTCCATACTCGGCTATACAGACATTCAAAATTTCAACGTAGGAAAAATCTGATAGGTTTCTGTTCTCTTTCAGGTCATACCATACCTGTAGGTGCTTGTTCGGAATACATACCATTAGACTAAATTTGTTTCCCGTTGAACATTGTTGTCTTACATAATTAAGACAATGTTAGGTTGACAAAGAAATCTCTTGGTTGAATTTATAGCATTCACAAGCCTTTAAAACGTCAGACATATTAAATTTACATGTTTAATACTTCCCGCGAAGTTGCGTCAGAAGTAAAACTCCCCACATTTTGTACACTGATCAACAAGACTGCTTTACGTACTAGTCCCAGTTTCCAAGCACTTCGAAATACCGCATTTCTAAGCTTTACTTTGATACCAAACATGGTCGAAAATAGGAAGAAAATCGTGAGATATTTAGATTCAAAACAACAGCATTGTTGTTAGCTTTATTCATTTTTAGATGTTTGTAAGTTTGTTTTAATATCCAAAGACTTTTTAGTTCCAAAAAGGACAGTGTTCATCATGTTTGATACAACCGGAAATCATCGTGTTTGTGGCAGTATATGTGAACATTCAGAAATGAACTTGGAAAATAGTCAAACTATAAACTACAACAAAGCCAGCTGGATTGAAACTTTGCTATTTATCGATTTTTCACTAAAAACACGGTATTAATGTATGCATAAAGGGAGCTAAACCGTACGCTCAAAAAGGATGATGTTTGCAATCTTGTCCTAGTACAATTTTCATTCAGTGGAGAGACAGAAGCTTTCTCTTAAGGAATCTGAGTTGGAAACTTGTACAGGTACATCAGGAGCTCGTTTATTCCTACATGTAATTTTAATGTGTATGTTTTCTAGACAAATTGTGGCGTCCATGTTTGTTTTGGTAATTTGAGTATATTGCTGACCATATGCAGGCTCGTATCCGGCATTTCTGCCCACGAAAAATGGAAACATGTAAGTGACTGTGAAGCATCACAGGAGTTGTATTCCATATGGGCTTTGCATTGGAGCTATGTAGTTTTGTGTTTAAAAAGTAAAAAGAAAAGCAATAAGGCAATTAAGTGATAAACGAGGTGGAATAGTACACCCACATAATCCAAATTTGGGAAATGGTGTGATGATAAGTCAAATATATGTGCTGAGTCCTCTAAGTAGCCACTACATAATACTATGAACAGTTCCTGTTCTGGAGATAAAGCCCTTGCCTTCCCTTGTTTCTTCTGTTCCTCTGAAGCTGCAACAATGTACATACGATGATTGCATGCTGCTGTTCAGTGCATTTGTGTCATTTGTTCTGTGCATTTGTGCCATATCATATTTTTGTTGTAACTTATCATAATTTGCTTGAAGCAGCTGGAGCTTATCTATTGTATGTTCGTCACTCTCCTGTAAACTATCCACTTCAGGCTCATTGCTACTCGTAGCTACATGATTAACAATGAAAACATTTCTTCGTTTGGTAGGTTGAACACACATCATTGTGGGAGCCTGGATTACAAATTCCTTTTCTTTTCAATATTTGGTCCACTTTTTCCTCAATTGTTAGTTCCTGTGATATTTTGTGGTAGGAAAGGTCTGCCCTACGTTTGCTATTGTAAATACAAATAGGAACACAACGTGTACGTCTCCCACTACTGGTTGATGTTTGTGATCAGTGGCGTTCCTGGCCATTTCTAGTTGGGGGGGGGGGGTGGCATCCCATTTTTACTGACGAAAAGGGTGTTTTCCTTTCCAATTGTCGAACATTGCAATACAAATTTTTATAGTATAAAAGTTTTAATTTGATACAGATTTGGTAATTTTCAAGTATGATACCTGTTGCACATTATCAAAACTAGATTTTTATCATTCTTGATTTATATAAAGACCACGAGTTAGCTACATTATCCAACTCAAGTTCATCTAATATATCTACAGATGAAGATAAAATCATCAGGTCATCAAGACTGTTTTCTTTCATCGTTTATTGCAAATAGCTTTTAACAAGTTTTAGTTACTAAATTAACACTTGTTACTTGCGACAGAAACTGGAATTGTTAATGCAAGCTGGTATGTTTTTGTCAGGTTGGGGATAAAACTGTTGTTTTCCAAGTAGACACTTTTCTCAATATCTAAAGATATTAACTTAATCTCTGCACACATAGAGTATGGATCTTTGAAGTCCTGTAGAAATGCTGCACATAAATTTTTGACTTCTTGCTTGGAACAATTGGGTAAATTTGCTGGAAGCAAAACAATGTCTGATACAAGATGATCTAATACCTTAACATTTCTTTCTGATAGTATTGGCTAAAGCTAGGTACAGTAGCATTGGCAAAATTTTCATCACATTGATTCCATACGAGTCGCATTTCTCGGTTGCTGCTGATATAATTCCCTCCATAGCAACATCATCTTCAAGCATGCGCAGCATTTTGTTTTGGGTTTGCTGTAGTACTTTGACACTCGCCTGGATATCTTGCTTGATTTCACTACACCAACATAGTACACTACACCAACACAGAAAAAATTCATATTACTAGAAAACATTGGTATTGAAGGAACTAGATTCTGGTCCGAAATATCACTTACTCGAACCGTCCTGACCGCGTAGCTCAGTTGGAAGAGCATTGGGCTAGTATTCCAAAGGTCGTAGGTTCGAATCCCACCGTGGCCGGGCATATTTTTCAAGCTCGCCCGGTGTGGATATACACTCAGAGTAACACCACAGGTATTAATCCAGTTTGAAAAGTTAAATTGAAAATATGTGCAAGAGGTTTGCAAATCTCTTGTTTTATTGCTTTTACCATTTTATCACACCACTGTGATCCTTTTGTGAACTACAATTAATTAGGGAATAGTCATTATACAATTCAATTTCCCTTTTATTTGTGTTGCAAAGAAACAATTCTAGAATACTAAAAAAAAAACTTCGATCTAGTTTTTTTGTTGTATGTGAGCAACGTTTAGTTTGCAGTAGCAAGGTGTATCAATAATTGCAATATTTCTTCCTGAAACTCATGCTGTTGTTATTTTTTGTTAAGTTTGAACATGGTCGATATAGTGGGAAGGAATACAAGAAAGTTTCTGTGATTCTGACCATCGATGTTAAGAATGCTATGATTTCCCAACACACGAGAAAAGAGGCCCAAGGTCTCCCAAAATCATTAGTATGTTTTCACAGTGAATGGTCGTAATTCAGAAAACCCTACTAGATCTCACTATGACCTGACGAAGCCATGCAGAAAAGTTAAGCTTGGTCAGGTATTTGTTAAATCAACCAATCTGTGGAAATATGTTGTGATTGTCAGTCAGCTCATTGACATGAACGAATCTGAAATGATTGTTGGCGAATGACCTGGGTCATGATTCGATGTCCACAAGGAATACTACAGGTTGCCTCGACAATTTCAGTGCAATTTTAGCAGTGCTAAGGTAAATTATCTTCTGTAATTGTACATGGAAAATATAAAGAAACATATTTTTCACAATAGTAAAATAGGGTGTGAAACTTTATATAAATTTGTCATTCTTGTTGTAAAATACACCGAGCTATTTGCTTATTTTTATATCTAACTATATGCCTTACAAGTTATATTTTGGAACTTCTTCCTCAATAAGCAATTTTCTCTTAATTGCTAAGTAACGATCTCACATGGCAATGTTTATTATAATTTTTTGTAGTCTGCATACTTATGTTAATTGTATTACAATAGATACAAATTGCTCCCAAGTGATAAGTGGCGTGGCAATATCCGCAAAATTTTGAATAAAGCGACGATAGTATCCGGCCAGACCAAGAAATGAACAAACTTTATTTTTCGTTTTGGACCTCGGAAACTGTAATATCGTTTCAATGAGTACATCTCTAGGGGAGATTGTACCACCCCCTACCGTATGGCCAATAAAATCTACCATATAGGCATAGTAATTTTGCATTTTGACAGCTTTGTGTGTAATTTTGCTTCTTGTAACCTGTCAAACACTCACCGTAGATCTGTTAAATGATGTTCAAAGGTGGTGGATGTGTCAATTTCCACACTGTCAATATATGCACTGGCAAAAGCCTCCAACCCATTTAACACCTCTTATTTTTCACCCTGCTCGGTTTCCTCTGTTCTTAGCGGGGAATATATTCAATATTCCACCCTAATCAATTTCCGTTTAATAATCCCCTCTAATATTCACCTGCAATTAATAATCCCCTCTAATATTCACCTGCAATGTCTTTGCAGCACAAAAAATGAGAAAAAAACAACATAACGAAGGCAATATGGCATTAAGAATTATTTCTATTCTCACTCATTAACACGACCTCGCAGTGTGATATATGTAATATGGCATAACGCAATATGGCATTAAGAATTATTTCTATTCTCACTCATTAACACGACCTCGCAGTGTGATATGTGTTTATTCACCTCGGCACTGCGCGCCTCGGTGAATAAATCACATATCCCCTTGTTGCCTCCAAATAACCCTATACATATTTCATGATGCGTTGAAACGTTGCCGACACGGTTTTCATGCGAAA